GACGGAGGTAAATGTGGATTGCTTGTTATATTTGGGACGGGTGGGATAGGTGGCTCTTGGACTGCTGGGCCAACTGCTCCTTCATCAAAATCTATATTGGGTGAACTGCCGGACTCATTTGCATCAGTGTTTTTAATGTTTATGGTTTCAGATAAGTCCACAAACTGACCCTCTGAATCCCAACGCCTACGTGTGTCTTTGGGTGTGCGAATCATTTCGAATAGCCTAATGCTCGCCTTGGATCTGAGATTGTACGTATGAAAACCTCTATTTTTATCAAATTGCTCTTTACGTCTCTCCGAGCTATTCATTCGCTAGCGATCTTATTAATGCGTGGGCACCAAAAAAAAAATTATTTTTTTGAAAACAAAAGGTAAGTGGTGTTTAGGGGGGGTTCGTTAAGGAGGAAAGGCGGTATTCTTTTGGCTAACGGACGTGTTAAAAAAAAAAACATTTATATATATCGTCATGTCTTTGATGTGACGTAGCGCGAGTTTAGAACGAAATTGTTTGTTGAGGAATTTAAAAAAAAAATGTATTAAAATTTTTTTAACTAAAGGTTTTCTGCAGAACTCGGTACAGCATAGTGCAACTAGGGTAAAATTGTTATCTCCTAGGCCACTACAGACTTTACCGCGGGCCAATGAGCACTCCGCTCTCTTCAGTGCGATTGGTATTTTTCTATCATACTGTTCCCAAGCCTCTAGGCAATCCTTTATATTTAAAAAAAAAGTCTGAAGCTAGGTTAAACGGAAACGAAATGCAATGGGATCTTGTTGCAATGGAGGTGTATCTTCTTGGATACCCTCAAGTCACCACGAAATAATCGCCCCAAGATCCTCCCAAAAAAAAAGACTCCTAAGCTGTTACACGAAAAATTTTAACTAATCGATCGCGGTGCGATTGGTTGTTGCTCGGTGGACAACCAAGTCATCGTATATTTTACCGCCTATATATACAAAAAAAAGGAAAATCACTGTTCTGTGCATTTACGAAATTTGTTGACTAGATATTCGTAAGTCAGCAGAAACGAAGAATCATTCCCCTTTTTTTGCCATTTTTTTATTTTGCAAATTTGTTCGAAACCGGAACCGGGATTGATATTAACACAACTTAAATAAAAAAAATCAGCTACTTTATAACGTTCTTGATCCTCAGAATAGATTTTTTTTTCTGGCACGGGCACTGTGCCATTTTAAAATTGGGCGCCATTTTTGTTATCTCCTGCTTGCCACAGGTGCCATGCCCCAAAGGCATCTTGCCAGACGTAGCTCCTCGGCTAGCTCAAGCGCGGATCGTAGGTCCCCAACCCACTGCGTCAGGCCGTGGGGTGGCGTACCAAAAAGAAGGTATTCTGCAACGCTCCACATCACATCATTAATCGCCCTCCCGACCTTGGTTGCCTATTCTCGCCGTTGCATTTTTTTTTCTTGACAACCCCCTTTACATTCCTATCACGTCCACCATGCCATCTTCCTCTTACCTCATCCTTCTTAACTCATCCCCCTTTTTATAATTCCTTAAAAACCAAACATATTTACGTCTTTCTTTTCAAATGAAAATACAATTTATTTGGTTCACCATCTTAACAGTTATACTAAATTTGTAAGGCTTAAATTCAAAAAAAAAATAATTAACTTTTAAATTAATGATACTAAATATGTTCTCAAATTGTATACAAAAATTCTCTTTTGGACCTCAAACCGTCTCCATATTAAATCAAATTATATACACTTCGAACAAAACAACTGGACTCACAAGAGTATTAACATTTATACCCTTCCTAAAACCTGCCAGAAAGAGCTCTTTAAGGGGTGGTTCTCAAGGGGATTTTTTTTTAAATCTCAAAAAACATGATAGAATTTTCTTCAATATGGGGGGTAGGTGTTGCAGTCAGTACACCAATAGAACAAAAAAACAAATCAATGTCGGAACAAAAAAAGAAATACAAAAATAGATATGTGTATATACGTATATAACTTACTAACTAAAAAAAAATATATACTTAATTAAATCGGCTACCAGCAAACGCACATCCACGGGCAGAAATTTGTCAGCACTACCCTAGTGAGCGGCTTTATATATCCGGCCTTTCAATGTATGAAAGCTTTTGCACACTTTAACA